TGAATTCGATTTCAGTGCAGAATAGGGGGGAAAACCTGTATTAAAAAGAAGGTTGAATTCAATTTTAGTGCAGAATGGGGGGAAAAACCTGGATTAAAAAGGTTGAATTTGATTTTAGAGAAGAATGGGGGGGGGGAACCTGGATTAAAATGAAGGTTGAATTCGATTTTAGTGCAGAATTGCTTGGAGGACACACAGTGGTGAACATGGATTAAAAGGAGAGCGCAGGAAGGACCGCAGAATCACTGTGGCAATCTTAAGTGGAGCTCTTTAACACACACGCGCTCTCTCTCTCTCTCTCGCTCTCTCTCTCTCTCTCTCTCTCTCTCTCTCTCTCTCTCTTCCTCCCCAGTTCTAGCCCGGCTGCTCCCACCATGGACCACCTCCTGCTCCTGCTTCCCCTCTTGGGTCTGGCGAGTGGCAGCATCCCCTTCGCGCAGAAAGGCTTCTGGGACTTCTCCATGGACGATGCCCAAGCCATTCCCCCAGAGGAGGAAGAGGCCTCGGGGATCTTCCCGACATCGGGGGGCGCCGAGGCAGAGGATGTCTACCCCTTCTACCCGGGCCTCTGTCCCTTTGGTTGCCATTGCCAGCTAAGGGTGGTGCAGTGTTCCGACCTGGGTGAGTATGCGCTTCAGGGAAGCTGTGATCTCGGGTTAGGGTTGTTCATGCAGGGGTACCTTCGTCTGGGTCCGGTGGCACCTTCAAGACCATTGAAGTTTAATTCTGGGTATAAGCTTTCGCGAAGGAACTTCAGGAACAGATGGGGAATGGGAGATTGCTGAATTACAAGTTATCACAACACTCAGGGAAAATGGTACTCCAGGTCTTAACAGAGATATCAGCTTCTTATCTCGCTACACATGCTAAGTCACTCAGTGCTCACTGATACCCAGAAATCAAATTCTATTGATCTTAAAGGTGCCACTGGACTCAGACGTAGTTCTGACATTTGTTGCTAGCTCCTTTATTATCTGTATAGCAACTTTCTGCCATTTACATGTCTTACCTAATGTGTTATTCCAACCTTAAGCACACTTCCTCAGATTTCTGGGTATAAGTGAGAACTGAGTGACTTAGCATGTGTGGTGAGATAAGAAACCAATATCTCTGTTAAGTCCTGGGGTTCCATTGTTCTGAGTGTTGTAATAACGTGTAATTCAACAGTCTCCTGTTCCCATCTGTTTCCGAAGACCCTTTCCAATAAAACAGCTACTTTGAAGGTCCCCCACTGAGTGCCCTGGAAGGCTGAAGTGTTCTCCTACAGGCTTCTCAGTCTTGTGATTCTTGATGTCAGATTGGTGTCTATCTATCCTCCGGTGTAGGCTTTGACCCGTTTGCCTTATGTAGAGAACCAGAGGGCATCGTTGGCATCTAATGGCATATACAGTGTAAGAAGATGAACATGTGAATAAGCCTGAGATGGTGTAGCTGATGTTGTTAGGTCCAGTGATTGTGTTGTCCGGGTGTATGCAGCAGCAAAGGTGGCCTCTGGGTTTATTGCAAGCTCTGGTACGAGTGTCCATGTTCAAATTAGATGTGAAAGAGAACTGTCTTTGGCTGCGGTCACACGGTCATTTTGATTGGGTTTCACCGCTGTTCTCTCTCACATTTAAAACTGCTGATCAGACGCCCACATCCACCTCCCGCACCGAAGTGGGCTCACTCGCGTGATCCTCCTGGTTCTCTAGCGAGTTTTCCGACACTGGGGAAATCAAGTACTTTCCGGGTATTTGCGCTTTGAATCCGTGTTTTTGCCTATCTGGACAGCCATCTCTCGCAATGTTTGCGATTAGGTCGTCTGAACGTCCTTCTTCCAGTAGTTTTTGTGTGTGTGTGACTTTCACCATTGTGTGCATGTGTGCAGATGCACATATGTGTGCAAGTGCATATGCACATATGCGCATGTGCAAAGAATTTTTTTTAAAAAAAAATTGTGCCGCGCCACCACTTGGAGGAGGAGGAGGAGGAGATTGGATTTATACCCCACCCTTCACTACCCAAAGGTAGCGGTGCAGGTATCTGGACAGTGCCTGGAGCATTGTCGCGCAAAGCAAGTGGTTGGGGAAGGGATGTGTGATCATCTGACCCCCAAATTTCATACACCCCCATTTTCATTGAACTCTCCCCTTCGAGGGGACGGTACAACCCGCCCCCAGAGTCTGCCTGTGTGACTGTCCTGGGGGCACCTCACTTTGGAGCAGCTGGCACAAGAACCGCGCTTTGGGAGCCAGTTTGGTGTAGTGGTTAAGTGCGCGGACCATAGAGTTTTCCCTCGAATGACCGTGGCCCTGCCCCCACCGTGCCCGGCGTGGTCGCGTCACTTCCGGGTGACGTGCATGTCGCGTACTTCGGGGGTAGGGTTCCCCCCGGGGCCCGATCCGGCGGCGGCGAGGAATGGGCCTCTGGGGCGGGGGTTTCCCCGCCCCCCGGGAGGACTTGGCAAGCCTAAAAGTAGAAGGCACAGAGACAGCCCTGCCCTGTAGGGTGTGAGTGGCATCCACAGCCATGGGACGGTAGATGCCATGCAGGTATTGAGATGAACTGGTGTGGCTAGTCCAATCACCATTAGTTAGCAGAGTGCTTAAATAAAGCTACAAACGCAGCAGCGTCACTTTACCAGGTTACTCAGCTTCCAAAGCTACATGGAGCCACGTTGCAAGTTTAGAAGAGGAATACTCCTCTCTTTATTTGAGAAGTACACTTTGGATAGGAAAGAGTAAGGACAGGACAGAATACTAACTTACTAGCTGAAGGATGGAAGCAGATGGCGAAAGGCCCATCCACCTCTTGGTGCCAAGAGAGGACCGCAAGAGAGCTTGTCTTCATTTGAGCGAGAGAGGAGGAGGAAGGGGAAATGGTCCCTGAAAACACAATCTGCATTTCAGAGGAGACAGTGACAGAAGAGTAGATAAAGGAAGAAAGGTCCCTGTGCCTATCTAGCTATCTAGTCTCTCTTGCCGCTCAGTCTGGAGGTCTGAGGCCGGGAATATAGCATCTGGAACTTCCAACAGCAGACAGTGTGGCTCTGTGGCGCATCTGTGCATAGCCAAAGCCCCATAAAGTAGCAGCGTTCTGCCCAAGACAATACTTCCTAGTTTGCCACTGATATTAAGACAGAACTAGGTACATCCGAAACGCATGTCCAGCGAAGAATTCAGCAAGAGAATTGCGCTATGAATGCAATATCGTAACTCCCAGTTCAGTGACACAAGAAGAATATAAATATTTAGCTTCATTACAGCCTTCAAGATGAATTGTCCATCTGGTTCACCATCTGTCTCCAAATAGCAGTATTTTGAAAGGCTTTCCTTTTTAAATAAGCTGTCAGTTTGATTGTACAAAATGCAACAAATGTAAAAAAATATTTAAAAACCACAATTTAAAATTGCCAGTTAGGACTGCCTATGAATAAAAAGGAAATGAAGCTGTCTTCAGCCGCCTTCTGATGACGGAAAGTGAGGGGACGAAGAGGCCTCTGTGGTGTGCCTACATTTTTAGAAAAGCTTTTAAAAAGACAGAATTAGGTAATGGAGGCCTGGCTATCACTTTTCTCCCTTGTCCCTGTAATGTTTAAAGCATCATGTAAGAACATCACAGAAGCCCTGCTGGGTCAGACCAGGGAGGGTCCCACTAGTCCAGCCTCCCGTCTCACACAGGGGCCAGCCGGTTCCTCTGGAGGGCCAGCAACAGGGCAGGGAGGCCGAGGCCTTCCCCTGAGAAGGACACCAGAAGAGCCCTGCTGGGTCAGACCAGGGAGGGTCCCTCTAGCCCAGCCTCCCGTCTCACACAGGGGCCAGCCAGTCCCTCTGGAGGGCCAGCAACAGGGCAGGGAGGCCGAGGCCTTCCCCAGATAAGAGCATCAGAAGAGCCCTGCTGGGTCAGACCAGGGAGGGTCCATCCAGTCCAGCCTCCCATCTCACACAGGGGCCAGCCAGTTCCTCCGGCGGGCCAGCAACAGGGCAGGGAGGCCGAGGCCTTCCCCTGATAAGAGCATCAGAAGAGCCCTGCTGGGTCAGACCAGGGAGGGACCCTCCAGTCCAGCCTCCCATCTCACACAGGGGCCAGCCAGTTCCTCTGGAGGGCCAGCAACAGGGCAGAGAGGCCGAGGCCTTCCCCTGAGAAGGACACCAGAAGAGCCCTGCTGGGTCAGACCAGGGAGGGTCCCTCTAGTCCAGCCTCCCGTCTCACACAGGGGCCAGCCAGTCCCTCTGGAGGGCCAGCAACAGGGCAGAGAGGCCGAGGCCTTCCCCTGAGAAGAGCATCAGAAGAGCCCTGCTGGGTCAGACCAGGGAGGGTCCCTCTAGTCCAGCATCCTGACTCACACAGGGGCCAGCCAGTTCCTCTGGAGGGCCAACTATGGGGCAGAGAGGGCAAGGCCTTCCCCTGATGTTGCCTCCTGGCTCTGGGACTCAGAGGGTTGGTGCCTCTGAATGTGGCGGTTCCCGTCAGCACTTGCCAGACAGCTTGCCCAAGGCAGTCAATCCTAACTGGTCCATCCCTCTTATTCTATCCTATCCAGGACTCAAAGAAGTGCCGAAAGAAATTTCGGCAGACACCAGTTTGCTGGACCTACAGAACAACCAGATTACGGAGCTGCGGAAAGACGACTTCAAGGGGCTGCACCAACTATATGTATGTAATCTAAGCCCGCCCCCCCTTTTCTGGCTCTGTTGTGACCCACCATGAGCAAAAGGCACAGCAGGATGACCTCAAGTTGTCATTTGGGGGTGGACCTTGGGGAGGGGGGTGGGAGCTCAGCGGGGAACTGACTCCTTGGTACTGCTGATCGAAAGCCATCGATGCTGCATCACCAAGGCTATTTTTGGGCAGGAACGCACAGGAACAGAGTCCCGGCTGGCTCCCGAGTTGGCCACGCCCAGCAGGAACTCATTAGCATAATAGGCCACACCCAACAGCAGAAACTCATGAGGATTGGCTACATCAGGGGTGTGTGGCCTAACATGCAAAGGAGTTCCTGCTACAAAAAAGGCCCTGGGTTTTGACAACAAACAAGGTAAACAGAATAACAAGCAAAAGGTGGGTGTGGCTGGATGACCACACTTCTGGTAACATGGGGGTGCGGCCTAATGTGCTAATGAGCTGTGCTGTCAGGGGTGTGGCCTAATATGCTAATGAGTTCCGGCTGGGCTTTTTCTACAAAAAGACCCCTGTAGCAGCATCACTATGATTTAAAAGCAAAATGCATTACTGAGCATGGCTCTGTGCAGGGGCTTTTTTTGTAGAATAAGCCCAGCAGGAACTCATTAGCATAACAGGCCACACCCAACAGCAGAAACTCGTTAGCATATTAGGCCACACCCCTGACAGAGCAGCTCATTATCATATTAGGCCACACCCCATGCCTCCCCTTTGCTTGCCCGGGCGCCTTGTGGCTGCGGGGAGCTTGGGCAAGCCAGCCCTTCGACAGGCTGGGGAAGGCACCCCCCCCATGCCTCCCCTTTGCTTGCCTGGGCGCCTTGTGGCTGCGGGGAGCTTGGGCAAGCCAGCCCTTCGACAGGCTGGGGAAGGCACGGGGAGGCATTTAAATACCTCCCCGATCCTTCTAGGGCACCCCCTGACCCGCCCGCCTCGGAGTTGCCAGGGGGGGTCGCTCTCCAGGCCTTCCCCCTGTAACCACGCATGCACAGAGGTTTTGGCGGTAGGTGTGGGCGTGGCCAACTCTGAAGCCAGCCGGAACTCCGTTCCTGTGCGTTCCTGCCCCAAAATAGCCCTGGCTCTATACATATCCCACAGATCCACAAAGACGAGTGAGGAACTGGGTAGTTGGTATCAGTGTTCCCTCTCAGCTGAGTGAGTATGAGCTAGCTCACAGTTTTTTAGCCTCCAGCTCACACATTTTTTGTCTTAGCTCAGGAAGGATGGGGCTCCAGGGCAAACTGATTCATGCAGCAGCCCAATCACTCACTCACAATTTTAATGCCAGCAGCTCACAAAGTAGAATTTTTGCTCACAAGACTCCACAGCTTAGAGGGAGCATTGGATGGTATTCATCATTTTCCTGGCCCTTCGGAAATGTATATCCTGTTCTCTCATCCAAAAAGGGTCTTGCGGGTTGCTTCCGTGGAAACTGTTTAGTCTGGAATGGACCCCGTTCATGTACTCAGTTAATGACAGATAACCCAGCCAACCCAGCCAGCAACGTTCCAGTGTTTTCCTTGTGACCCTTCCTCCTTTTTTCAGACTTGACTTGTGGTGATTTTAAACAAAGTGCAGTCACCGTGTTCCCGTCTGCCCCATTTGGACTGGCCAAGCACTGTCATGGTTTCTTTGGGCTAAAAGGTAAAGGTAAAGGTTCCCTTGCTCGAAAGCCAGTCAAATCCGACTCTAGGGTTGCGGTGCTCATCTCCGTTTCCAAGCTGAAGAGCCAGCGCTGTCCGAAGACGTTTCCGTGGTCATGTGGCTGGTATGACTAAACACCAAGGCGCACGGAACGCTGTTCCCTTCCCACTGAAGTGGTACCTATTTATCTACTTGCAATTCCTTGCTTTCGAACTGCTAGGTTGGCAGGAGCTGGAACTAGAGACGGGAGCTCACTCCGTCATGCGGCACCCGGGTCTCGAACTGCTGAATCGACCGACCTTCCACAGTCTGCAGTTCAGCGTCTTAACCACTTGAGCCACCGCAGCTCCCTTCAATTTTCAACATCAATTAGAGATGAACTTATTTTACTCAGCTAGAGAGTCAATGGAGAGGACAGATGCTGACTGGCTCCCAAAAATAATACAGGTGTTGTATTCTGCACCGGCTAGAGTTTCCAAATTGGTTTTTGGAGGGGAGACCAATGTCCAGTGCATTATGGTAGTCTCGTCTCATTGTTACTGTGGCAGGGATCCAGGTGGTCAGTTTTGGTGGTAAAAGGTTCCCTTGCTCGAAAGCCAGTCAAATCCGACTCTAGGGTTGCGGTGCTCATCTCCGTTTCCAAGCCGAAGAGCCAGCGCTGTCCGAAGACGTTTCCGTGGTCATGTGGCCAGCATGACTAAACACCAAGGCGCACGGAACACTGTTCCCTTCCCACCGAAGCGGTACCTATTTATCTCCTTGCAATTTCTTGCTTTCGAACTGCTAGGGTGGCAGGAGCTGGAACTAAAGACGGGAGCTCACTCCGTCATGCAGCACACTCGGGTCTTGAACTGCTGAACTACTGACCTTCCACAGCCTGCAGTTCAGTATCTTAACCACTTGAGCCACCGCAGCTCCTGTGCCTTTAAATGTTGTTTTATGAGCCGCTTCTGTTTCTCTGCTCAATTGGATGTTTTATTACTCACTTTTTCTTCGCAGACAACCTAGGGTTGCCTGGTTTGGGTTGGGAAATACCTGGAGATTTGAGGGGCGGAGCCTGAGGAAGGAGGGGTTTGGGGAGGGGAGGGGCTTCAGTAAGGAAGGGGTGTCCTAGAGCCCATTCTCCAAAGCAGCCGTTCTCTCCAGTGGAGCTGACCTTTGTCATCTGGATATCGTTTTTTCATTCCTGGAGACCTGCAAGCCCTAACTGGAGACCGAGACGCCTAGTTTGAGGAACAAGGTTTCCCAACGGCTTAGCAGCCCTTGGGTCTCTGTTCAGCTGTGTTTCCTTGCAGGGAAAATGGCTGCCCTTCGCTTCCGCCCCACTTCTGAAGACACATTTTGCACCCATTCCTCACAAATCTTCTATCAGCAGCACCTCCTGGTGGTAGAACGGGGATGTGCACCCATCTTGTCCCATCTTTGTTCTCCGCGAGGTGGTGGAACTCTCTGCCCGTGCTTCCCTACAGACCTTCTTGGCATTTTTTTCACCTTACTGGGAGATCGGAATAGGTCCCCCAGCACTCAAGATGATGCTGAGGAATATAAGGAGTTGCCTGATAGTGGATCATGTCCCAGGCCGGCTGCTCCAGTAACTGTCTCCACAACCTGATGCTGATTCTTTGACCAGGATAGATCTCTAAATTGCAAGCTGTCAGCCCGCTTGAGACGACAGTTCTCACCTGCTGCAAGTTAATCACTTCTGCCAGCCAGCCTAAGCAACAGTTCTGATCACAAGCCGGCAGGTGGGGTGTGTGTGAGGACTTCTATAGTCAAGAAAGCTAACACGTAGGCAGAAAAAAACTCTCTTAAAGGAGGCCGGTTTCTGGACACAGAGTTAGGATCCTAGAGGTCACCTACTCCAACCCCCTTGCTCAGTGCGGGAATTAGTCAGCTACAGCACCCCGCTCTGCTTAAAAGAGCACATGCCTTTAAAAAAATGTTTTAAAATGATTGAAAAAAGCATTTACAGGAGAGATTCTTGTGGGGCCGTGCCTTTAAGAAAGGGGGCGGAGCCCCAAAAAGCCCCACCGTCGCTACGGGCCTCCAACCATGTATTTTGCCACTACCCTACACCTTGTTCCCCTCCATTCAACATCTCCTTCTGCATCAGAAGGGTTGAAAGTGCCTGGCGGAGTCTCTTTCACAGTGCCCCCTGTTAGGAAACGGGGTCCCTCCCGCTCCCATTAATGTATTGCACACTGACATGTTGGTGGAAAGTTCTATCAAGGCACAGCTGACTTAACGGCAGCCTCGTCAGGTTCCCAAGTCAAGAGACAAACCGAGGTGGTCTACCATTGTCCACCTCTGCACAGAGACCTTCGATTGCCTTGGAGGTCTCCCATCCAAGTACTAACCAGGGCCGACCCTGCTTAGCTTCTGAGATCTGACAAGAGAAGACTGGCCGGCCTGGGCCATCCAGGTCAAGGCAAGAGGTAAACAGTGGTGGTTTGCCCTTGCCTGCCTCTGCGTAGCAACCCTGGTTTTCCTTGGAGGTCTCCCATCCAAATACTAACCAGGGCCGACCCAGCTTAGCTTCTGAGATCAGGTGAGATCACGCTAACCTGGGCCACCCAGGCCAGGGCAGAGAGAAACAGAGGTGGGTTTGCCATGGCCTGCCTCTGCGTAGCAACCCTGGGCTTCCTTGGCGATCTCCCACCCAAGCCCTAACCAGGGCTGACCCTGGCTATTGGAGATTAGGCTAGACTGGGCCATCCAGGTCATGGCACCTCCCCTCAAACGTTCCGCTTACGTGATCTCTCTCTGTACGTTTCCGGTTCCTAGGCCCTGGTCCTGGTGAACAATAAGATCACCAAGATCCACCCCAAAGCCTTCAGCCCCCTGCACAAGCTCCAGAAGCTGTACATCTCCAAGAACAACTTGGTGGAGATCCCGCCGAACCTGCCCAGCTCCTTGGTCGAACTCCGCATCCACGACAACAGGATCAAGAAGATCTCCAAGGACGTCTTCAACGGGCTCAACAGCATGAATTGCATCGGTGAGGCCAGCGGCTGTACCGAACCGTCCGGGCTCTTTCTCTAGCAGGAACTCCTTTGCATATTAGGATTGTTTTATGAGCCGCTTCTGTTTCTCTGCTCAATTGGATGTTTTATTACTCACTTTTTCTTCGCAGACAACCTAGGGTTGCCTGGTTTGGGTTGGGAAATACCTGGAGATTTGAGGGGCGGAGCCTGAGGAAGGAGGGGTTTGGGGAGGGGAGGGGCTTCAGTAAGGAAGTGGTGTCCTAGAGCCCATTCTCCAAAGCAGCCGTTCTCTCCAGTGGAGCTGACCTTTGTCATCTGGAGATTCATTCCTGGAGGACCTGCAAGCCCTAACTGGAGATCGAGACGCCTAGTTTGGGGAACAAGGTTTCCCAATGGCTTAGCGGCCCTTGGGTCTCTGTTCAGCTGTGTTTCCTTGCAGAGAAAACGGCTGCCCTTCGCTTCTGCCCCCCTTCTGAAGACACATTTCGCACCCATTCCTCACAAATCTTCTCTCAGCAGCACCTCCTGGTGGTAGAACGGGGATGTGCGCCCATCTTGTCCCATCTTTGTTCTCCGCGAGGTGGTGGAACTCTCTGTCCGTGCTTCCCTACAGACCTTCTTGGCATTTTTTTCACCTTACTGGGAGATCAGAATAGGTCCCCCAGCACCCAAGATGATGCTGAAGAATATAAGGAGTTGCCTGATAGTGGATCATTGTCCCAGGCCTGCTGCTCCAGTAACTGTCTCCACAACCTGATGCTGATGCTGTGACCAGGATAGATCTCTAAATTGCAAGCTGTCAGCCGCTTGAGATGACAGTTCTCACCTGCTGCAAGTTAATCACTTCTGCCAGCCAGCCTAAGCAACAATTCTGATCAGAAGCTGGCAGGTGGGGGGGTGAGGACTTCTACAGTCAAGAAAGCTAACACGTAGGCAGAAAAAAAACTCTCTTAAAGGAGGCCGGTTGCTGGACAGAGTTAGAAGGGATCCTAGAGGTCACCTACTCCAACCCCCTTGCTCAGTGCGGGAATTAGTCTGCTACAGCACCCCGTTCTGCTTAAAGGATCACATGCCTTTAAAAAATTTTTAAAATGATAGAAAAAAGCATTTACAGGAGAGATTCTTGTGGGGCCGTGCCTTTAAGAAAGGGGGCGGAGCCCCAAAAAGCCCCACCGTCGCTACGGGCCTCCAACCATGTATTTTGCCACTACCCTACACCTTGTTCCCCTCCATTCAACATCTCCTTCTGCATCAGAAGGGTTGAAAGTGCCTGGCGGAGTCTCTTTCACAGTGCCCCCTGTTAGGAAACGGGGTCCCTCCCGCTCCCATTAATGTATCGTACACTGACATGTTGGTGGAAAGTTCTATCAAGGCACAGCTGACTTAACGGCAGCCTCGTCAGGTTCCCAAATCAAGAGACAAATCGAGGTGGTCTACCATTGCCCGCCTCTGCACAGAGACCTTCGATTGCCTTGGAGGTCTCCCATCCAAGTACTAACCAGGGCCGACCCTGCTTAGCTTCTGAGATCTGACAAGAGAAGACTGGCCGGCCTGGGCCATCCAGGTCAAGGCAAGAGGTAAACAGTGGTGGTTTGCCCTTGCCTGCCTCTGCGTAGCAACCCTGGTTTTCCTTGGAGGTCTCCCATCCAAATACTAACCAGGGCCGACCCAGCTTAGCTTCTGAGATCAGGTGAGATCACGCTAACCTGGGCCACCCAGGCCAGGGCAGAGAGAAACAGAGGTGGGTTTGCCATGGCCTGCCTCTGCGTAGCAACCCTGGGCTTCCTTGGCGATCTCCCACCCAAGCCCTAGCCAGGGCTGACCCTGGCTATTGGAGATTAGGCTAGACTGGGCCATCCAGGTCATGGCACCTCCCCTCAAACGTTCCGCTTACGTGATCTCTCTCTGTACGTTTCCGGTTCCTAGGCCCTGGTCCTGGTGAACAATAAGATCACCAAGATCCACCCCAAAGCCTTCAGCCCCCTGCACAAGCTCCAGAAGCTGTACATCTCCAAGAACAACTTGGTGGAGATCCCGCCGAACCTGCCCAGCTCCTTGGTCGAACTCCGCATCCACGACAACAGGATCAAGAAGATCTCCAAGGACGTCTTCAACGGGCTCAACAGCATGAATTGCATCGGTGAGGCCAGCGGCTGTACCGAACCGTCCGGGCTCTTTCTCTAGCAGGAACTCCTTTGCATATTAGGCGACACACCCCTAATGTAGCCAATCCTCCAAGAGCTTACAAAGCTCTTCTTACAGGGGCTACTGTAAGCTCTTGGAGGATTGGCTACATTAGGGGGGGTGTCACCTAATATGCAAAGGAGTTCCTGCTACAAAAAGAGCCCTGCACCAGTATTCGTTCTGCCATCCTCCATGCGTGATGAGTGGGGCCGGTCCATCCGAAAAACGTTCTTCTCCCGCTCCAGAAAAGACCAGTGGAGTGAACCCGCTGCATGTATTTGAGGGCTAAGAATAGACCGATGGGCCAAAATAACACCCAGTACCCAAAATGACCGGGCTTTGGGAATTCAAGGGCAAGGCAGCAATTTGTCCTGTGGCCAACTCGTTCGGTCTTGTGTGTCTTTCCGGCATCTGTTCTCCCTAGAAGAAACGCCCACAAGAAGAGCTGGATCTGAGTCCAGTGGCAGCTTAGAGATTAACAAGATTTTCAGGGTATAAACTCGCAAGAATCAAAGCTGTGATTTGGACTCTTGAAAGCTTATGCCCTGGGAATTTTGTTGGTCTTGAAAGGGCCACTGCGTTCCGATCTAGACGTTCTGTTGGGTATGTTATTTTCTTGTGTATCATACGGATATCGTGACCAGAGAAATATGTGTTATCATTTCTAAAATTCTTTTCTAGCATTCTAACAAAATCATTTCTAGCATTCTAACATATAGGACCAGTAGAGATGGAAATGAAATTGCCTTCGGTATGTTAACAGAGGTCCCGATCACACGCAGAAGTAGCCACGTGATAGGCACGAATGCCGGACGGATTTTAAGGGCGCGATCACACGAGAACATCCGGCAAGCGTCCCGCACCCGTCGGCAACTCATTTCACTCCGCTGAAGAAGCGTAGTTAAAAAATACCTGGGAAAGTTCAGTAGCAACCGGGTGTGTGACAGGCCGCAGACGGACTTTCCCGTGTGATCGCTCCACCAGGCTCCCGTTGCGTCAGTGATCCCTTGTTGAAGCGCACCAGAAACACGCGGTGAAGACAAAAAACCCGATTCACCCGCCGTTGCGCCTGGTCATGCAGTGGCAGGTCAAATTAAAGGTAAAGGTTCCCTTGCTCGAAAGCCAGTCGAGTCCGACTCTAGGGTTGCGGTGCTCATCTCCGTTTCAAAGCCGAAGAGCCAGCGCTGTCCGAAGACATTTCCGTGGTCATGTGGCCGGCATGACTAAACACCACGGCGCACGGAACGCTGTTCCCTTCCCACCGAAGTGGTACCTATTTATCTACTTGCCATTTCTTGCTTTCGAACTGCTGGGTTGGCAGGAGCTGGAACTAGAGATGGGAGGTCAAATTACTATGGAGTAAAAAGCCTCGCTCCCCCCCCCATTCAAGGAGATAACACTTATACACACTAGAGTGATGTAGCGCCTCTCAGTGTCCAACCACGCTGACTAGCTCACTCCAACAAAAAGATTGCATTGTTCATATCAAAAACACTGTGTTCAGATCTCAGTGGAAAATGCAATTGATTCCATTTCATATATTACACGACCGAGCTCTACGAATCTGCCTAGCTTGCCATGGTTTTCATAGACATGGACAAGCTGGGGGAGGGGATATGTCGTGCATACCACACTTGTGGAACGGCCCAAGGGTCAGGCCAGAGTGCAGGCTGCAGTCGGTGTTTTCGGGGGAATCGGTATTTTTCGAGTTTGGGTAAACAAAATCCGAAAACTTCGGTAAATACCAATATTCCCGAATCCCTCTATTGGTATTACACTGGGATTTGGGAAATACTTAACATTGCCGAAAATATTCAGCTGGCTATTAGAGCATGTCAGTTTCACTCCCCCCCCTTCCAAGTGGAGGGGGAAGTGAAACTGACCCGCTCTCTCTCCCCTGAGCTTCCCCAGCCGGCCACAGTGGCAGGCCAACTGGGGAAGCAAAGGCAGACTGGGGAGGCATTTAGAGATGCCTCCCTTGATTCCCCAGCCGGCCAGAAGTCTGAAAATCACTGTTCTGAGTTGGTGCTTTCACACACGCTCAATGAGGCACTTTCTATTCACTTTCAATGCACTCTACAACTGGATTTTACTGTGTCGATTGGCAAAATCCACTTGCAAATGATCACTAAAGTGCACTGAATGTGGACTGAAAGTGCATTATTCAGGTAGACTCAGGGTGCTGCTTTCACACAGGCTGAATAATGTACCTCCAGTCCACTTTCAGTGCACTTTGCAGCTGGGTTTTACTGTGTGAAAGGGCAAAATACACTTGCAAATGATCACTAAAGTGCATTGAGTGCGGACTGAAAGTGCATTATTCAGGTAGACTCAGGGTGCTGCTTTCACACAGGCTGAATAATGTACCTCCAGTCCACTTTCAGTGCACTTTGCAGCTGGGTTTTACTGTGTGAAAGGGCAAAATACACTTGCAAATGATCACTAAAGTGCATTGAGCGTGGACTGAAAGTGCATTATTCAGGTAGACTTGGGGCTTTTCTGCATTCCCATTTTCCTTGCTTGTTGCTTTGGGGGGTGGTTGTGTTCTGCATGGGTTTTGCCCCATCTAGTGGTCAATTCGATATTACATCGCTGTATGTTTGGCATAAAACCCCGCAGTTTAAGTCTGCTGGAAGTGATGCTGAACATAAAGTGAGCTAATATTGAATTGACCACTAGAGGGAGCATGTGCAGAATAGACCCTCCCTGCCCGAAGCAACAGGAACACACAAGCGAAGGAAATGAGAATGCCAAGAAGCCCTCAGGGCTCTTTCGCACACGCTGAATAATGCGCTTCCGATCCACTTTTCGATGCATTTTGCAACTGGATTTTATGGTGTGAAATGGCAAAATCCACTTACTAAAGTGCATCGAAAGTGGATTGAAAGTGCGTCATTCAGCACTTTCGAAAGCGTGTAAAAGTACTGACCTACAGTAGGAAAGAGGGGTGGGATACGAGAAAGCATCTCCTCGTGCTCTCCGCGTAACCCGGTTCCTCTCTCCACAGAGATGGGTGGGAACCCCTTAGAGAACAGTGGATTCGAGCCTGGAGCCTTTGACGGCTTGAAGCTGAACTACCTGCGAATCTCAGAAGCGAAGCTCACGGGGGTACCAAAAGGTAACAGAGGACCTCTCTGCCAGCTCCTCGTTTTCGTAATCCCCCTCCCCCCGACTTCTCTCGTATACTAATTTCAGACTCTTGTCCCAGATCTGCCCGAAACCCTGCATGAGCTACATCTGGACCACAACAAGATCCAAGCCATCGAACTAGAGGACCTGATCCGCTACTCCAAACTGTACAGGTAGTGTGAATTGAAGCCTAGGCTAGCTGGATCTCACTAGCCTTTCCCTTCCCGTCCCCACAACAGGCACCCTGTGAGGTAAAAGAAGAAGGAGAGATTGGATTTATACCCCGCCTTCACTTCCCAAAGGAGTCTCAGAGCGGCTTACAAACTCCTTTCCCTTCCCCTCCCCACAACAGACACCCTGTGAGGCAGGTGGGGCTGAGAGAGCTCTGACAGAAACGGCTCTTTTTCAAGAACAGCTCTTGTCAGAACTATGGCTTGCCCAAGGTCATCCAGCCAGCTCCAAGTGGAGGAGTGGGGAATCAAACCCGGTTCTCCCAGATTAGAGTCTGCGCACTTCACCACGACACCAAACTGGCTTAGTGTTTGGATGGGAGGCCGCCGAGGAATACCAGTCCAGGGTTGCTATGCAGAGGCAAGCAATGGCCCAACCACCTCTGAACATCTCTTGACTTAAGAACCCTTTGGGGTTGGCCACGAGTTGGCCATGACTTGACGGCACTCTGAACTTGCTGGCTCCAGGTGTAGAGAGACAGTTTGGTGTCGTGGTTAGGAGCACAGACTCTAATCTGGGAGAGCCGGGTTTGATTTCCCCATTCCTCCACGTGCAGCTGCTGGTGTGACCTGGGGTCAGTCCCAGTTCCTTCAGAGCTGTTCTCTCAGGAGCAGTCCTCGAAAGAGCTCTCTCAGCCCTGCATGC